CCCAGGGGAAACTTTGGAGTTTGAGATCCCTTTGTTGTACATGTCACAGGTAGATAAAAGCAATCATTATGGTATTCTGGTCTCAAACAATGGAACATGGGTTTCTCACTTGCATTATCTAACAGTCAACATGTCATTGGTCTAAAAAAATACCATTATCATACCCTTTGTTGTGGTAAAATTGGAGATGTTGTTTTTATCTTTCCTCTACCAATTTTTTTCTTCAAAATGCTAATATCAGGATGGGTTCCTTCCACAATACTTTTCCAGTTTTCTTCAATTTCATCTGATGTATCCCAAGCAAAGTAAAGGGCTTTTATTGTTTTTGCATCAATCCTGGGCCTATAAGAGTAAATTCAATTCTTACACTTATAACACAGATTAATCACCTAAGACAATTAGCATTCACTTTTTTTGTTCTACACAAAAAAAAATCTGAGTACACCATGATGAATTATTAAGCCCCTGACTTGCTGCTTTTGTGGTCTATTGTTCTGCCACCGAACAAAAGAAAAATATTTGGCAAGCTAAGAAATATACATGATTATGTACAACAAGCTTCTTGCATACTGCTGGGGCCATCAATGTCACAAGAGTGTATGGGCATTAAAGGGAACCTCCACTCTTACAGCAAACATTTAACTCAAAAGGCTATAAATGTATCAAATACAAGATATTTGGTTCTTAAAAATTATTCCTCTAAACTAGTAAAATTTTTTCAGCCTTCAAAACCACACTTCACAGCAAGTTTGAACCTTTCCACATCCACCATCTTATTAGGTGCCTAAGGCACTCTGAAATAATGACATGTGATAGTTGCTGGGCTTCCGTTATCAAATGTGTATCCAGTCATTCTATTGTAAACAAAGCTATCCATTCTTCCATTAGGTATGATTCATGGAAGCAATGGTCCTCAAAATGTTTGGAACACAGACATGATTCTTTTGGAAGACATATCCTTCCAATTGCATGAATCCATGCATATTTAATATATTTAGAGCCTTTTGAGCAACATTTGCATCAAGAATGAAGGTTTCCTGTAAGAAAGATATGGAATTTTTTCCCTACGCTGGTCACAGACAAATGATAACTATCGTTTTTCGACAGCTAAGCTGAGCTTGAATTAACCATATTTCTTATTCTATATCATTCAGTGTATTTTCATTGTGTTTAGTGATCTCCTTACTATTTATTATTCACCCCTTGACCTGTTAGTTAAAACTGACCTTCCATGTATTCAGAAAGTATTATATAAGCCTCAGGGAGAGAGTGATCAACCATATTAACTTTATCAAGCCAAGTAATTGAGATGAAATCAAATGGAGACAACCACAACTGGCATATTCTTATCATCATTTAACAAAATAATTTCAACTGGATAAGGTTAAGAAAAACAGTAAGAATAACCAAGGTCTGAATTCATGTTAACTGCCAAAGCCAAAGGATGAGGTACATGACAAAAACCTAGGAATTTATAATAATTTCCAAGTGTTATGAAAAACCCAAATTCAAAAATATGATAATTATCTCTTCATTCAGGTTTAGAAACTACTTATGGAAGGCATGGCATAACCTCTACATGTATACCTAAAAATCGCTAAAACATATACTTCAGTTCATATTTGTGAAAAGAGCTCTGTGAAAGAGCAAAGCCCAAGGCCTAAAATGGGAGGACATACCTTTCTTTGGTTGCATTCTCCAGCAAAGGTGCCTAAAATAAGCAAGAATTGAAAGTAAAACTTACTATAATGATACTATTCACTTATAAAGGGGAAAAGAGAAAACTAAGCTTAACATTGGTATACTACAGTATTGTTCTAAATATTTAAGGTGATGGAGGGTCACTTAGCAATAATGCTTCACACAGGATTCATAAACACACAACAGTGTGCAAAATTTAAGACTTTTCACACTTTTTTCCAAACCATCATTTTCATTTTCCACTCAAGGTTGCACTCAAAATGATATAGCCTGAGCAGAATAGCAGTTGTCAGGGGTTCTCCCAAAAAGATTAATTCTGTACTCAAGAAAAATCTGGATTTTTTCAGGATTCATATCCTTGATTCTTTACAACTAGGTACAGCAAAATGTATAAGATATAGGAGTTAATTTTTTTACCTCTTCTAAAACTGGAATTTCAAACTTTTTCCATGCTGGGGTAAAAAACTTCTGAACTTGGTTGAGAAACTTTTCATATGTGTGCTTTCCCAAAAATGTTTCTATGAACGTATCATTTTCAGATTGAAATAACTCCCTGAGGTCATCTTGATACTCCTGTTAAAAAGAAATCAATCATACCTTTGGCTGGGTCTATATTAATAAAAATTTAACAGCAATATCTCGAAAAAATTATTGCCACAGTATCAGACAAAACTCTGTATTGTAAATCATGTCCTAAACATAGCTTCTATATAGTCTTTACGGAGATGGCAGATTTTAAATGGGACAATAAAAAATACAACATAAGATTTTCATAAAAAACTGACAATAGTTAAGGGAGTGCTTTTAGGATCAATTTCCCATAAGTTAATTTGTTGCTCAAATTTTTTTGGACTGTAACAAACATCACTCCAACTTTTTCAAACTTGTCCAAGACATATTGGCCCAATTTGTGCTAAATAGGATACTACCGTCCATTCACAGAGCACCAAGTATGTTAGATATAAACACTTTCATTTCTGAAAACAGTGTCTGCCTATATAATTGATTTCAACCTCATGTTTCCAACTTGCTTAATCAACCCATCAGCCAACTATTTCAGGAGCTCAAAGAGAAACACCACTTAGTAATTCAAAAAGGAACTATCACAATTATTGGTGAGAAACAAGGCTTCAACCAAAAAACTATGTGTGTGAACGCCAACCTTTCAACAGAAAAACATATACAAATGACGACAAAACACACCATTTGACTGAGATAAACCTACAATTGATCCCATAAATTCCCTTATAACAAATGGGAAAAGCACTCTCTCAACTACTATTGACAGATTTTTTTACTAGAATATACTTTGAACACAAAGAAGGGGATTTGTGAATATGTCCTTGGCTGTTAGACTTTTCTTGGATGAATAGTTTAGCCTTGTACTTTTCTACAGTAAATTGAGTAGTATATCCAGTAAATGGTAAAATGTAGCAATAATTACATGTAACTTACTTCATCATAACCATTCTCACTGTACAATCTAGAAAACAAGTTTTCAGCACTTTGAATGTCACCACATCTGTAACATGATAGGATGATCTGTGAGGAAAAGAGATAAGTTTTAATCAATTATTAATCAATTAATTGATGAACTCTGTCAAAATTCCTGTGAAGTACCAAATTACTTTAAAGCAGAGAAGACAACATGGGCAAGTGGCTGAAGCTTACTGTTGGATGGCTCAAAAAAGTTTTGTAATTTTTAGTTACAAATAAATAAAAGGGGAAAAATTTTTCAGAAAAATCAGAGTCGTCACTATGCAGACAACGAAGTCTGAGAAACTTTAGGGCTATTGTAATGACTGAAAAATTGGTGTTCGATAAAATTTATGAAAAGATTGATGTATCTAGGTCCCATTTTGGTACCCATGGCTATGCCATTAGTTTGTTTGTAATAGTAGCCACAGAATAAAAAGCAATTGAGTGTTAGCACTTGTTCAGCTAGGCAGTGTAGTGTTTTAGAGCTAGATTCCTTAGCAGTGCATGAATACTTAAAAAAAACCTATTGGGTCCCTGTAGCTAAAAGAAAAATTTTAGTGACCCCTATTTTTTTTCCACTTTCATTTATATGGAAAATGATAAAAAATATTTTCATAACATTGAGAGGTACCAAAAAATTATCAAAAAATTAAGGTGGTTCTGAATTAAAAGTTTCATTTGTTTCAGCTGTAAACATTTCAGTGAAGAAACAGGCAGGGTTCAAGCTCATAAACACTCCACTATCTTGACCATTCTGAGTTTGATAGATGTCAAAGCTGGCAAATCAATGAACTGTGGATCTCTAATACACTCTAACATCAGAAGGCTTATTTTCCATACTGTCCTCTAAACATTTCCTAAGGAGCTGACAAAGGTAATTTTTTTAACAATCAAGAGCTTCTTTAGTTGGTGGTCATTTCCTTTATTCTCGTGACATTAGGTATTAGGGTCGAGCTGCCGGTAGGTATCAGCTTAGGCTGATACCTGCCGTCATCAACCTTTTCAGCTAGGAGCAGCCTGTTTCGCGAGTGATGTTTAATCGTGGCTCAACTACGATACAAAATCATTACCTGTAACTTTAAACTGCTTTTCATATGAGACCGCTCAGCCTGAGAAAACGGAAAGATGCACGTTACTTTTTCGAAGAATTTCAGACATTCCGGTCCCAGCATCCCTTTTTCGATTTGTTCACAGTGACCTTCATCGTCAGAAGGGGAACTTTCCTGACTTCCACCAACATCATCTTCTTGACACTCCCACAATCCAATAATAAATCTGATGCAATTGAGCTTATCTGAGAGTTCTTTCCCTACTTCAGAGTGTCGACCACTTAACAAGTAATCTGTACAAAGTAAGCACGTGTCAATTTGTAAACAGAGACAAAATTTAAGTTTACCAACAAGGTAAAGTTACCTTCGACGAAGGAATTCTGCACTGAATTCTTGACAAAACTTACCCTGTAGAGCGTTTCTCCAGAAGCCAGAAAATGAGTGTTTTTCTTTGAATTCCTTCCAAAGCTGATAAATACAATAATCTAGGAACCATTCCGAGGTGATTCCTAACAGGTTAGCGTCGTTCGACGGTTTGCCCGCCATTTGTGACTCGTCGACCCCAGTCTATCTCGTTCTCGTAAGAAATCCCTCCATGCAATGCGAAATTAATAACCTACACTGTGTAAAGCATTCTTATATCGTCCTCAAATACTGAGACCCTCACCAACTTTCCTTCATTTTCGCAAACCTTCCTACCAACATGGCAGTGCAAGGACTAACTCAGCCGTTCTAAAAACTACCGTAATAAAAAAGACTACAACGAGCAGATCATAATTACAATTTTTATTCGACTATTTCAAATATTTATCTTGTTTTCTTAATTTCCCATAAAATTTGAAAATCTAAGCGAGCACAGCTCTGCTAGAGGGGATTACTTTAACAAATTTTTAGCTATGGTTTATGCAACCTAAATTACGTAGGAAAAACTATAATTAAAGGGGACTGCACTCATAAATAGACAGCATTTCGAAATTAAGATATTCATAGAAAGCGAAGATCGTTTTACGACACCTCTTTCGTGGGAGATGGCCACATGTTACAAGAGGCCATTACAAGTATCGCAGTAAGGATTCTTAAGACTGAAGAGGGAGATGTGCTTGGACTGATGTCTGAAAAGGTCAAACTAAACAGGAAATGTATGGCAAAATTTCACAGGCCGTGAAGTTATGAATAACAAGAAAAGAAGTCCGCCATCGAGCCAAACATGATTCCCTTCAAGAAATGAAGTTATCATCGATTCGATGAAGAACATAAAGAACCTAATACTATCAGCGACATTACTACGGGAATTATAACGTTTCAAAGAGCAAATACTGGACTAAACCAAGATAAGACTCACTGCGAAAGAAAAGCATCTCATAAAAGCCAATTCTGTCAAGAGAATATATTTATAAGCCTTACAAATGTTCTCAAAATGTATACGACCAGACTTGTTTGACCTTAAAAAAAAGGTTTGCACGTTACAGCACATTAAAAGGAAGAAAAACCAAAGAATATATTTGAGCAAAAGACAAATCCAATGAATGATAATAACACAACACACATGAAATAAAAGTAGCGGAGGGTAAAACTTATCAAAAGAGATATTCCTTTCGCGTTTTAAACTATTGATAAATTTAAAAAGGCTACATTTTTCAACTCAGTCTATAGGAATCATTTCAGTGTTTGGAGGACCAGTCTCCGAAAAGTTTGCAATAGTACCTAGGCACATCACCTGTCATTTACACTTGGAAAAAAAAGAATGCATGTCAAACCGATAATTTTTGCGAAGACACGAACGTTTGACTCAAATCTATCAATTGCATTCAAAGAGGCACGATCTGTCGCATCATATAAATGTTGAGTAAACACATATTTTAGAAACTGGTTCTTCAGTTTCAGATAAGTTTTTATGGTAACTCGTTCAAGTTCTCACCCACATTCCACGAAAAGTAAAACCTTCAAGAATCGTAATTGTAACGTTTTGCACAAGTGTGGACAAGTGGAATGTCTCAAGAATTCTGATTGGCTCAGTACTACCCTTGCTATTCGACTGTTGTGACAAGTGTCTGCACGACTGGCCGACTGGTTAAACTTAACATCAAGGACAATATTTCCAATTTTTAATATAAGAACCCAGAGCGCGCTATAAAACTGTCGAAATCTTCAGTATCCTCTTTGGATAAAGCCCTCTAGGCGACAACTTAATATCAACAAGAGTCAATCACTGCTCAGTTTTAAATCGCTGTTTTCGTATCTAAGCTAATTTCCCGACTTCCGAGATTCATAAACGAATGACTATCACCTAACCAAACGTTCAATTGAACTATTTCGGTTTCCTGTCTGGCAAATTATTAATCCCGAGTACATTTTTTTTTCAGCAGGGAATTGTCTAACACATGTCACAAATAAAACGTACGTATCTACCTTTTAAACAATAAAAACACTATTACACTGAACAATAACTGTACAGAAACTATAGAGACAACATTGAACTAAGTAGATCCGGATGATGATTTACTAGAAAGATTGTCCTCTGGCGTTTTCTCTCCATCCATTTGGATCTCCCCAGGCTCCTCTTCTGATTCCTTATTCGACGTTACCGGGGAGATTGGGTAATCGCTTATATTTCCGGCATAAAAAAGTTGCTGTTCACGTTCCTCGCGCGCGAATTCCTCTTCGAGAATCTGGTGAAAGAAAACGAAAAAATATTGTGTCAATGGTAGGACTGAACAAAATCCACCTTAATAAGAGCCAGGAAAAGCTTTCTCAGAAAATACTCGAAGATAAACACAGCAAAATTTCATAAGGTTACGTACTTCTCTTTAAAACTCAGAGAAACCTGACGTCCAAAGTGAAATATTTTTTCAAACCAAATCGTCCCTGTCTCTTAAAAATTCACCATAAACACTTAAAGAGTACCCCGTTTTCTATAATTTGCCAAGTGTATACTGCCAGAATGACTTAGGAATGCCTTACCTTCTTTCGTGGACCAAGTTCAGCTTTCCAGGATTCTAACTGGGTTTGATGCTTTTCGTCTCGTTCTTTTAACTTCATAGTTTCGCTTTCCATTAACATGTGACGCTTCTCATTCTGCAAAACCAATCAATCATACGAAATCCCTTTTTAATCTTAAATCAGTTTCTATTACTTGTTTACCGTTTCCACCCTGGCCCAGAAGGACTAAAAAGCATTAAGATTAAATGTACAGCAACCAAAACCAAAGTAATGCCAAGGCTAATCAATAAAAAAGATTCGGGGATAACAAACCAAGGAGAACCCAAAATAAAAATAAACAAACCGTTGGAGACGCAGATTTTGTATCCTACAAGTCAACATTGGCGCGACTAGTCATATGAAGTATGCAATCCTGAATTACTTCAAACAGTCAGATTAAAATTACTCCTAATGACCATCTGCAGTGTTATAAGCAATCAACAGTTCATCATACATTATCCTGTTACCTTTTTCTATAGGAGAAAATAACATGCACAGCTCTCAGCACCATTGATTTGCAAAATTGGTTTTAAGACATTGAATCGAAAAGCGTCCTAAATTTGTATGCCATGTGAGAGTTAATTTTTGTCCTTAAGCCGCATTTACACCATTAGGTGCTCCTTGCAAATCAAATTAAAAATAAACTTGAGCGACACAAGAAAAAAAAAACTCCTCTGCAACGACATTATTGAAAAATCCATGTAATCGTCGAAACAAGATGTATTCGTATCGCTAGTCTTCATCCTCAAATATTTGACAAATCTTCCATTATTCAACTGCATCCGTAAAGAAAATTTTTTGCGCGTAAAAAAATATCGGAAAAGAATACCAATCAATACTGGAAAACAATTTCCATTCAATGTTTCACAACTTTCTCCGTGATAACTACCCATAAAAACCCATCTACACATGCTAAATTTGTTCTTCACAGGGAAGAATTTCCAGGATAATTGCTAAGTTCCTTTCGAAGAAGTGATACCGCCTACCAGTTCGTGTTCACTTTTCGTGAGCAAGATAACATAGAAGGTGACAAACAGCTCACCTGTAACAGTTGCAACTCTTTGAGAGCAGATTCAGAGGAGACGCGCAGCTCCTCTACCTCCATTTCTTGTCGGAATAACAATTTATCATACTCTGATCGAGCCTTTTTACGTTCCTGCAATTCAAACTGAAAAAAGGGAAGAGAAAAAAAATAACTAATTCCACCGCTTTTCCTTTGTTTCCTATTGTGAATAAGAAGCCGTCATTTCAATAAGATCACGTGACATTATCTGTAAATAACTGAAATGATGTCAGTCTTTTAACAATGACTGATCATGGTACCTCTTTCATTAATTCTCGCTCAATATCCATTGAATATCTCTTGTCTATCCTCAAAGACTTGCGGTACTGCTGTGTCTTAGACTTGATTTCTTCCCGTTGTATCTTAGGAAGCCGTTTCCGTTCGATCTCATGACGTCTCTTCATTTCCTCTTCCTTAAGTTTGGTTAGACGATTGTGTTGCTCCACTTCCTGCAATAAATTCCGAAAGATCATACATACAGTAACTGTTTTCAAACCAGGCACAGTAGTTGACCGGATAGTCTGATACTCCTGGCGTGAGTAACTAAAAAAGAGCTGTTGTCGGTGAGAGGGACTGACCTTTCGACAGCCCAAGTGAAAGTCATCATCAAAGTCAAGTTGATTGGTCATTTTCGCTGTGATGTTACCAGCTGTAAGACTTGGGTAGTGTCAGTTAGTTGTAAGTTGTTTTGATCAGTTGGTAACGTTAGTTCGTTCTGATTGGTTCGTTGGTGGTCATAGCTCGGGTTGATGAAAATGACTGGGCCCCCCTTATAATACCATTCCTATAGCATATTACACTGAACGCTATAAACAAAAGATCTCCTTTGAAGCATTGTTCTACACCATTTACAAGAGGAAAACTCGAATTACAAAACTGTGTAAATTCTCTGACCTTCTGATGTCTGTTCAGCATCTGTGATCGCTGTAGGAAGAAAGTCTCCTTCAGTTGTGTTCTGGCCAACTGATGTCTGTCCTGCAGTTGTCGCTGCTCAATCTTCCACGAATCTCCCTCGTGATCTGCAAACAAATCAACATGATCCCCAATGCTTAATTCACAGGGCCTCAATACAGAAATTGATCGTACCCTCAAAAAATTAAGAGTATTTGTTTGCTTCAGAACTTGGAGAGTTCTCCACAATTAATAGAAAATGTCTAACAAATAAAGGTTTCTCCTTCTACATAAAACAACAACAACAACAACAAAGTTTTGGTTAAGCATGAACAGCAACGCGTAGGTTACAGCACAAGTGACAGAACAAATTTATTAACGAGTCATGGAACAATCGGAACAAGAGTCAAAACTAGAAACACATTTAAGAAGGGATCATGATCGCATTTGAAACTGACGAACGAGTTGTGCTCTAATGACGCTTAAAAAAAGACAAGAAATGTACCTCTCTTGAGGGTGTGTTTCGCCTTTAGGAATTGCATTTCCATGGCGTACATCTTCTCACGATGTAATTCAACCAGCTCTTTCGTGAATCTCTCAAACTCCGCCTGTTGCATGGCTAGAAATTCGTGTTCCTAAAGACAGAATGATTACAATTAGCGACGATTGGAGGAAAGAGAGAAAACACAACCATCACAACTGTCATGCTTTACCTCCCTAACCCTGGAATAATGCTGCTTTACGTAAGGACTTGCATCGCTACCCCTTACTCAAATGGAAACTATAGGATTAATCTCAATATCAAATAAGTTGAGAATTCTTCTAAAGTTTACTTACTGCTTAATGCCAAATTGTTCTTCTAACACAACCCAGTTTCTTTCCTACAGCTGCCAGAGTCAATAGCTGGCTGAAATCTTTATCATTTTCAAAACGAAAATATAATCTTAAGGTGCGAACTAAAAATTCTTGAAGAACATTTTAGAATGATATCCTTAATTTGAAAAAGATAGTTGACAGCTATTGAAACTGGCAACTGTGGGAGAGAAACTCTGGACAATTTTTACAAAGGAAAATTTTCTATTGATACTGTATTTAAGTCCATTGAATTTCTTTAGTAAGTGTCGTACTTACAGCTTGCCGCTGTGAGACTTCTACTTCATCTCTCTTCTTTCGCCAACTCTCCTTCCTTAAATTCCTTGGCAGTTGATCCACCTTAAACAGAATCATGAAATAAAGGGAATAACCATCTATATAACCAAGACATTTCTTCAAACCTAGGCTGCAAAAAAGCGCGACACAATTGACCAAAGAGAGTCTTTCCTACAGAAACAACAGGTTTGCTACCATGGTAACTATTTCTTCAGTATATAGAGTACAAAAAACCCACTTTTGTTTCTCATTTATGAGTGTTTTTTAAAACAGTCATAAATGAGAAACAACATTCGAAATCTTTATCATAACAGTTATTTCAAGATGTTCCTTTCCCTTCCACGACTCAATAAAAGACTAGTTCAGTTTTCAAACCTCTTTCTTGGCAAATTTGAGTTCCTCTTTGAGATTCTCTCTGAATTTCTTGAGGTCTTTTTCCTGAAAATAAGAAAACAGTGAATAAGAGACATAGGTGTAACCGTTCGTCGCTTCTCCAATTGTCACGATACACGTTTAAGGTTTTCATAGTTGTGTGACGCTTCATAAGGGGTTCGGACTAAGGTCGAGTTTTCTTTAGATCAACTGCCAGGATGTCCGGGGCTTCCGTGTTCTCTTGAGGAAGAGAACAGTTTCTGGTTGATTTGATCGATCAACTTTTCAACCGCTATCGCACCATGTTGAAACGGTTGATAAAGCATTGGTAACGATCGCAGTGCCGGCTTATTGAAGTCGAATGCTGGCTTTAGTTGCCGGTCGTTAAGCTCGCAATAGGCAAAAAATATAATATTAATACACCCGATAAGGAAAAAAAAATGAATGCATAAAAGTGAAAGACGGCAAAAAGCGGGAGAGATCGTGCCACAAGACGGAAATCAGTCGCCACGTTCCCTTTCCTTTCCTTCCCTTACAGGCGCGGAAAAATCTAGCAATGACTACTCCCAGGAGTTACCAAGTCTCAACTGAAAAGCTTGAGAGAAGACTTCAACTTCTCAACCTAAAACGGTTGTGATTGAAACACAAGAGCTAAAAGAATGAATCCCAAAAGTTACCTGGTCTTGTTTCATCTTGCGTGAGGAAGTGCGAAGGTCAGCATTCTGCGCAATTTCTAGTTTTTCTATGTCTTTCTTTTGATTCCTGCTTGAAGTGTCCAAATCTACCTCAAATTTCTTTACCAATTCCTACAAAGACGAGAAATTCTGGTAAATCTGGAATGCTCCCCAAAAAAAGTAATCTCTTGCTCTCAACAAAGAAAACATTACGTGTGTGGAAAACGTATCAATTAAGATTGACCAATCGTAGCAGTTCTATCATCTAAAGGATCAGTCATATGGCACCTGCAGCTCCTGTTCAAATCGTTGTTCCTGAGCTTCCCACTGACGGCGAATTTTGGCCATAAGTAGAATTCCTTGTTTCTGTTCCTCGCGTTGGAGGATCTTCATTTCACGAAGATTCACTTTTCTAGGAAAAGACATTAAAGAAACATTAGTAGTTCTCGCCTTCAAGAAAACTCGCCCTCAAGTAGTCTCGCCTACGATCAGCTCGCCTTAAAGTAAACTCCCTCTACATCAATTCGCCCACAAGTCAATTTCCCTACAAACCAGCCCACCATGTCACCTTGTCTACGAGTTCCCAGAAACAGATTACAAACTGGCTAGCAAAAAAATATATATGCTAAGCTTCCTTGGGTATATCCATCACGAGTACTCCTCGCGAAATTTGCGGCAAATCTTTAACTATCAGTAACACTTGTTTTAGAATGTTCATGTTTTTCACTTTGCCGGCTTACAGTAGTACCTTTGTTGCTGTTCTTTCATCAGTGCATTCCTGTAGTCATCCTGACTCACATCTACAACTCGTGATGTCGTCTCCGTCACTATCTTGCCATCTTTTTCATACTTACGAATCCTTTTTAATGTTTTGAAACTTTTCTCCTCCACGCCCTAAATTGTAATAATTAAAAATTCAACGGAAGCTAACCCCCCCTGCCATTAAAAAAAACGGTAATTCATACTTTAAAGGCACGACTCGGGGAAACAGCCTGAGTAAGATATCTCTTTCCCTGGATCTAATCCTAGTAAGCAAAAGAACACACAACGAGACTCCTCTACAGACCTTCTTCCGGATGTCATGCAACGCTCCTGAGAGCATTGCGTGACATTACAAGGACGACTGCAAAGGTTTTACAACAAGCTTAAAAAAAAAGCGTTCCAATAAAAGAAACCTATAGACTTGTAAAAATTTACATGCAACTAACTTACATCTGTAGTTTCTGGTTTCTCTTTGGAATGATTGGACGGTTCTTTGTCGTTCTCACGGCCATTTGGTATGGGAATCTTTTCATCTGCATCTAAAGTCTGTTCATCTTCTAATTCAGTTTTGTTTTCAGTCTGTTCACTGTCCTTGTCTTCGTCGTTCTTTTCTTCCGTTTCTTTCTCCTCCACTTTTGTGGCTGTTTCCTCAGCGTCATCTGATTTCTCTTCTTCCTGAGCTGTCGTTGTTTCTTCATCCCTCTGCTTTTCACCCTCTTCGGGTTTTTCTTCGTCTTGAGGAACTGATGGTTCTCCTACTTCGCCTGCTGACTCTCCTTCGTCTTCCTCTAACTTGTCTAAGATGTTGTCTAAGCGTGTAGAGTACTTATCTGCCAGTTGCTGTCCTTCTTTTTGTGTTACTTTTGCCGGTTCATTACTATCTTTAAAAACTATCACGGCATCAACCTCCTCCGCTGTGGGTTCCTCTTTCGACTCCTCAGTTGTAACTTCTTCTTCATCTTCCATCTCTTCTTTTGCTTCAATATCATTTGCTTTATCTTCAGCATCTTTTGTTACAACTTCAGGTTCTTCTTTTCTTTCCTCGAGTTTCTCTTCAACTTCTTCTTTCTTTTCATCTGTTTCCCCTCTACTTTCTGAAACTTCCTCCTTCGTTTCTCCGTCTTCTTCGATTTTCTCAACCGCTTCCTCCGTCTCAGCTTGACCTTCTTCCCTCTTTTCTTCAGCTCCGTGACTTTCCGTTTCGCCTTCATCCTTCCTCTCTCCAGCTTCCTCTATCTTCACCTCAACTTCCTCCTCCTTTTCTTCAAGGTTCTCTTTCTCCTTTTCCTCTTTCACCTCCTTGTCATCGAAAACTTCTATATTTTCTTCCACTGCATCCGCTTGGTTTTCCAAGGGTCCCTCTTCTTTATTACTTTCTTCTTCTGACTTTTGTTCTTCCTTCGTTTCCCCTTTATCTGCAATTTCCTCCTCTTTCTCTAATAAATTTTCGTCACTTTCTTCTTTCTTCACCTCTGCATTTTCCTTGAGATCTTCATCACCTTCCTCTGTTCCATCCTCTTTCTCAGAATCTTTTTCCTTCTCTGTAGATTCTTCCAGCTCACTCTCCTCTCTCTCGTCTTTCTCCTTATCCAAGTCCTTTGAACCTGTTTCGATAAACAATTCTTCACTTTCGTCCAAAGACTCAGTCGATTCTGCTGACTTCAGGGCTTCTTTATCTCTCTTCTAAGTGCAGAAAAATCGTGACCAAAGAGTGAATTTAAATAAGTTAATTGGTCACAAAATTACCAAGCAAACTGAGACACAAAACAAAACGAGCGAAAACATTTCCCAAATATTCTTTGGTACAGTCTTAAGAAATAGCACAGCTGAGTTAATATCTTTTCAAAGAATCTACAAAATAGTTCATACAAATTTTACAACTTTCCATCCGTCTGTGGGTCAGTGGGCCATTCAATTTGCCAATTTTAATGTTGAATCATGATCCATATCATCAGATAGAACTGCACCCTTAATAAATGAGCATACCACGAGCATATGCCTCTCCTAATAAATATTGCATTCACAAAACTAAATCAAATGAATAGTACAACAGCACCTCTTTATCTTCAGGAAGATCTTCAAATTCTTCAATCACAACAGCCTTGGCTTCATTGTAAAGTTCTTTCAGAGGTTTATTGTCAATACAGTTGACAATAAAAGGATGCTGCAGGAAAGTCGAATGTTCACCTGGATTACTAACACTGTGTGCTGCTTACTTAATCCTTTACACCCTAGCATCTTTAAGCAAATTCTTCCAACTGTTCTCTATACATCTCCTAAGGTGCTGACAAGGAGAATTTGTTTATTATTATTGTGACCCTAATGTGTGATTCAGGGGTGCTTTATATGGAGAAATTAGATGCAAGTCACTCTCAGGGGTCAATGGATTAACATCACAAGGAATGAAGAGTTAAATTTCCTGATTCTATCATTTTCTGTAAAAATGTTGTTCCTTTGAACACATATTATGACCATAAATTATCTTGGTTTTTCACCTCCAGTAAATCTGCTGCTGATGATCGCATTTCAGGGGATTTTACCACACAAAGAGACAGAAAATCATGGAAATCCTTAGACCTAGCAAAAAAAAAATCAGAAGAGTATGTGAATGTAGAGAACGTGATCCTGACTTTAAGACCACAATGGCTTATCAACAATGTTGTATTAATATAACAATACTTTTGCAAACACTAGAACAGACAGAAAACTTGGTAAAATATAACTTATTTAGAGGAAAAGCTAACCATACATGTCTATAATAATACACAGTAAGTGTATCCTCCTGGCCTCCCACTAAAAGTCACTGTTCCCCTAACTGACACTGTGCCTAATGGCCCATCACCCTTTCCCACTCCACCCTTCAATGACCTTACTTACCATCTATTTCTAAACTGCAGTGTAGGTGGGTCAGCTTTAGGTATTTTGAACAACACTCTCATAGGGTGCATGTCATGGTAGGGAGGTTGCATCTCAGCCAGCTCAATGAGTGTAACACCAGCAGACCAAATATCCGCCTTAAATGAAAGCAAAGAAAGTTTAAGTTGGCAAAGTGAAGATCATTCAACTTCTCTAAATGCTGCGATCCTAACCCTTTAGGAGGTGAGAAGGAAAAAGGGCCTTTTACAAGCATTACTGTAATAAAATTACCACAACATACAAGAGGAAAGAACATGAAGTACATGTAAATTTAATGACATACTTTAACCTTCAAAAGTAGCATTGTATGGCTCTGTGAAAAATATTACATGGTCTCACACTACAGAGCAGTACATTCGCTTGAAAGATTTCCACATTTACAAATTACACAGTTTTAAAAATCTGTACCATCAGTTTGTCTAATTGTGTTTTAGCACCAGCATATCTGAGGTATATTGAAAAGATCAGAGTAGTGCATACCACAGTTACCTAACAAGATGAAGTCAACATTACCTTGTAGTCATAGGGGTCATCTTTGCATGTCTCTGTTACAATAACTTCAGGAGCCATCCTAAAAATTAGCATGTACTAATTGTTGTAAATTATCTCGGGTCTTTTAGCACATATTACTCTTAAATGTTATTACTGGTTGCTGCTGAACTAGTCCAGCCTAGTGAAATATTATTGATAACTAAATAAATAAACATATAAAGTTTTTTCCCTTGCAACTGTTGGACTCTGAGAGACCCTCAAGAAATATGGGTGTACATGGTTAAAATCTGAGGGACTCTTATTTTTGGCTCAAATTCTCCATAATTTCTTTAAGTAGCTACATCACAACACATTTTTGACATCTTTGAGTCATAATCTAACTCACCAGTAAGGTGTCCCAATGAATGTTGTTCTTCTCTGTATAGTTTTCTTGTTCTTGGCAGAAACACCAAAATCAGCTGGAAAATAAATTGCACTCATTCACAGGGAGGCTTAAAATCCTATCTCAAGGAAACTTTGTAATTATGCACACCAAATATACATTAGGAGACCCATTAGTTTTAAGACAATGAAAAATTGTAACCTTCCATTAAAATAACCCCAAATGAGGAAAAAATCATATTTTTATAATCAATATTTTTGCCCACTTGTGAAACTTAAAATGGTAAAGTTGGCTTAAAAGCCATACCTTACCTGGTTTCTGTAGCATTAAACAACTAGGAGTGTTGCTAATACTTCACAAAAAGAATACCAATCCATTGCTTATAACTTGCCCCTACCCCTCCCCCCCCTCCCACATATATTTTCCCAAGTAGTCTGCCAGAACCCACAGATTCTCCTGTGGGGGAGAGAGAGGTATTGTGAGAGTAAAGTGCCTTGCCCAAAACAAAACACAACACTCCACCTACTTCGAGGAAAGGATGCTGGTCAATTGCTTAATAATGACCTAACCCCTTGCTACAGAGCCTACACTCCTGCAGGGGGAAGAGGCACTTTGAGAGTAAAGTACAAGTAAGAGTACCCCTTTGCAAATTTTTTCCAGGCCTCCTTTATATCACAAACATATCCTACCAAGCTTGATGTTGCCCTCATTTGTAAGCAGCAAATTTCCAGCTTTCAAATCTCTATGGATTACTTTGTGAGTATGAAGAAAGTGGAGGCACTACAATTAAGAAGATAATAGATGAATGAGTGGATAAAATTTTCTCAAAACAGATTATAAATAGTAGCTAACATGACTTTTCAGCATCACTGAAATGAATCCTGACTTTTTTAAAATTGCCATAATATATTTCCACAAACAAATACTATTAAATGAAACTGTGGAGAAATATATACTTCATGAAGAAAAAGTTTACCAGAGTATGAGAAGCTAATTAAATTCTCACTATGGAACAGAGTTTACAGATCAAACACAGAGGTTTCTGACTACTTTCTAAAATTCAGTCAGATGACCCACGAAAGTGCAGACAAAAATGTTGTGAAAATGATGGGCCATAGAATATGTATTATAGGAATAGTTTTGGCAGCCTTAGAGTCTTAGGATTAGTATTATATTGATGCTGTGCAGGGTGCACTTCAAAGAAAGTATAACTATTATTAATAACACCCATCCCTTAGATGATTAATAGAAGCAGGTACCATCCCTTAAGATTGGAAGCCATCAAAAATGCACATTCATCCTGAGAAATATTTGCCTCTAAATGACCCTACAATAAGCTCAAGCAAACTTGTTTTTCACAAGGGCAACTGCCATTCAAGACACTAATCAAAGTGACACTATGGTGAACCTGTCAATACCCTGTGCAGAGTGTTCAAAAGGAATAAACAGTGATAATACTATAAGCCAATATCTTGTGATTCCAAGAAACTGAAATGAGTTGTCATCCCATGAAAGTACTCCCTAATTGTTCACCACAATTAAAGATTGGTCCAACATCATTTATAAGATGCATACTCTCCCTGACTCCTATGGCCATGCTAAAGCCACAAAATGTGCATGCCCAATCCCCACTTTACTTTTTCCTATGCTCTGCATACTCATGAGTAAAAAGGACATTGAACTGTATACAACAATAAATTATTATTACCTCAAACATTTGCTTGCACACCACTCTGATCTGTTCTTCATTTAGACCTCGCTCAAGTTCTAAAACAGAAAATAAATCATTTTCCAGGTCTATGAAACCAGTCCCAGAGTACATTAAATACATACTGTTTAATAAAACAACTCCCTTTAAGTTCATTTAAAGTTTACTGTGGTCATCCTTCCACCCAAAATTTTTCTCCAATCAGGGCAACATAAAATTTGTCCTAG